AGGCTAGAGCAATGATGAGATCTGGTACAACATTTATATTTCGGAGTCAATGAGGATGTCAAGGGCCCGGGCGCGTGGTGGCTGAGGCTGAGGAGGAATTTGCGCTACGTCGTTTATACTGCGAGTTTCTGGACGGTCAAGCTTGGTATGATTCAACACATACGTGAAGTCTGAGGTGGTCAGGTCATTTAAGTGGGACGAGGTATATCTGTTGTTCGCGTAAATTAACCTGATCTGGCCCGGCCCCACTCGTGCTTAAGCTCCAGTAGGAGCGCAACGGTAGCCACTTAACCTAGCACGTTTATGAACAAAAAAAATCAAGCTGGCAAAAGCGTTCAAGACATATCTCCCTCAGAAATTTCTACTGCTATAGAAAGTATTAAGACAGAATAATCACAGTGTCATACTTTCAATTCGCAAAATAACTTCCCAACAGTTCAACAGAATTCAAATCGTCAGCTCAAATAAATTTGTATTCAAATCAGGGTGTCATAATTGCTACTGATAGAGGAGTGTTATGATGTGAGATGACGAAGGAAGTAAGAATGGGGCATTATATGTGAGTTAAAGCCACAGCTTTGAGGGTAAGACTGATCATCTGTATGCGATGTCCTCTACGAACCTGGGGGTGAAATATTCTCCCAGAGCCAAGTTCAGTCAAATTTCGCAACATCACAGAAGTTGGCCCACGAAGCAACGATTAAATTTACTCCATCACCTCGTTTTTTCACTCCCAACAAGTTTGACTCCTACCAAAACCTCATCAAGTTTACAGGTACGACTTAGTACATCCTCTTTTCAATGACCACACCTCTCTTCGACCTTCTCTGGCCTCAGTAGACCACCAAATATACGCCCACTGTAAGAATACGAGAATCACGGACGCTGCACGCGAAGACTGCCACAAAATAATCTATAGATTTTATATGAGTGAAAAATTCCAGTGAGACTGTACTAATATGAAGCTTGTCCTGATAACTGCTTATATAAGCTCTTAATTAGCGACGTATCTTATGCAACAGGCAGACATATTTCTTGAATCCCAACTACATGCAATGCTGGGCCCTTAGGTCGGCATAGCCACTACTACCCGGTAAACCCCGTAACACCCACACCGATATTTACACCCGACAGAGGAGTTATAGCGTAGCACATAAATCTGGGAGACAGCTCTTTAGGATGGGCGTGAAAGGGATCAGGACAAGTTCGCAAGATGATGTAGAGGATGAATACAATATCGACTGGCGTGGTATCTTGAATTTTGGCAACGAATTTTACATAATGAGCTTTATGCGTGCGCCAAGACTTCGGTTACGAGATTGCAGCTGACACTTTAAACACAAGCCGACGATGGGAGGTGTTGTGGTCCGCTTCCTGGTGATGTTCTCTGGTATAGTTTGAGTAGCCTGGGCACCTACTCCACTTTGGAAGGAGAAGCTCCAGGTCAGATTTGATGCGGAGAAAAGTTAATGGATGACGGAGGCAAGTCTGGATAACTCAGGGTTTTTGAGACGTCCCCCTGAGTGGGTATTCATGGATGAGGGTTAACTTGGGGCGAGGAAAAAGCCGCCATAACTTCGCAGTGGTACTTTCAAATGATATCTGAGGTATGAGTGCTCTTCTTGTATGTTGAGTCATCTTTTCTGTACTTTTTCTCCGATATTGTGTTAAAGCTGGATTGCTGCATACGCAATGAAAATCTGATATAAAACAATAAGCTACAACTTATATCACAAGTGTATCTTGTAGGCGAGCATGTATACAATCTTTTAGGTTTACCCACAATATAGTGCCATAGGTGTTGAGCTAGGGTCATTCTAGGTTTACCTGAATTTACTCATAACATGACTCAAGTCGGAGAAGTTAATGCTGATACATGATGTGTATCAAGGAAAATATATTTTTGTTCGGATTTTACATGACTCATACTTTGAATTGGGTTTACATTTATGTTTCCGATGATGTTCTCATCTTATCTGTCCTGAGCACGGTTTGGTATATTTCGGTGGTAGCATTATTGCCAGCGAGTTATCTAGTAGGGTTTCACATGAGGAAAACTATGTATTTTAGATACTCGATAGCCAGAGAATGGAGAAGCAACCCTTCGATGATTTCTTACTTTCTACTCCCATTTTCAAAAAAGTCCAACAATAGGTTTATTCTTACAAACTCGTTCATTATTTTGCATCAAATTCTGATAGCATAAGCTGCTGTCTAACTATGAAAATTTATCAGAGATAAAGTACAGAATAGATGACTCAGTTTAAAGATAGAGCACTCATGCCTCGGTTTTTATCTGCAAGTACCATTACGAAGTTATGGCGGCTTTTTCTTCATCCTAAGTCAACCCTCATCCGTGAATACCCACCTAGGGGAAGGTCTACAAAACCTTGAGTTATCCAGGCATGCCTCTTTCATCCACTGAATTTTCTCCATGCAAAATCTATTCTAAGGTGTCTCCTTCCCATCTGGGTAGCTACGCCATTTGCTGTTGGAAAACATATCCTGTGCGATATTGTCAAGGTGTGTATGATGAAGCACAGAAGACTCGATATTTTACAATGGTAACTACTGATGAAACACGAATTAACAAGGGGAAAATTCTCAACACCTGTCAGTGGTGTCCCCTACGAACCTCCAGCTCTCACTGTAGAGTCTATAGAGCCGAGATTTAGTAACAAAGTCCTCACTTCGACGAGGATTCCCAATCGCTTACGCGGTCTATATCGTCTTCATCCCTCAACACATCCCCCTATCACTTCTATTATGAAGCTAACCATGATCATATCAGATAGTAGAGTCGGAGCCCTACTCATCACCCACCCTTGATCATGGAGGAGATGCCATCCGATGAGTTTCCGGAGCGTACCCAGCACCCGATACGGAGATGGTGGATTGGATCAAGTCAGCCGCGACTGTTACAAAGAAGTGAGATGTAGATGAATATGCGCTCCTCACGTGGTTCAGGTGTCTAGGCCTGTATTTATTATTTATTATTTATTTATTCATATCGTATTCAGCTATTTAGCTATGACAATTGGTGTCAAGGCCTCGCCTGGCTGGGGCTGCAGGTTTTTTGAGACTTTTCCTCATTACAGGGGTAAAAGGCTCCGTGAAAATTGCGGCTGCCTTCCACGGGTCAACACTGAGCTGAATGGCTATTCATCAAGGGCAATATATCAATGATATTTCAAGAAACATGAGAGGCAAGGAGTGGCTTGGGCTACAGAGGAGTCCAATGTGCTAGATAGTCTATGACTCAAGTAGTATAATAAGCACAAACACATTAAACCAAGCCATTTCCTCCGAAAATTCCGGAGATAACCAGTGAGCTCGTATCCAGCTTCCAGCGCAGATCAGAAAAAGACCAATTGGAAGAGGGGACAGGAAATGGTGTAAGTGAGAAGCGCGGGATCTGGACCACAAAAGAATATTTTCAAAAATTGCTCTGATTTTTTGATTTGACTGATATGTGATTGTAGATGACTTCTTTTCCTGTCAATGTTCATGCGGTTGGAATGAGTTGGGTCTGTAAGAAGTAAAACCTACCAGATCCGCTGGTCCTGGAATGGAGAGATATGTCGGGCATAGCCTAGGATTCAAATAATTAGAAATACAATTGATCAATTGTGGCGCTATCTAGGCAAAGAAACCCCTGGATACACTCATTATGCCCACGGCATACAGCCGCTCATGTTTCTATCAGGTAGTCTTAAGCCCTATCATCTTACACATTCCCACCTCTTTATTACAACCTATATCGTATCAGGGACCTAGACGAAATCGAGGGCCCACACGTCCAAAACACTCTGTCTCAATTTGCGACAACTTTTGAGGTGTTGGTGCTATTAGTCGACTCACAAGAGAGCCCTTAAATTTTGACAAGTTACTGGCAGTCAGTTGGTGGTCTCCTAGTGCTGGTTTTCCTACCCCTCACCCGTAGGCTTAAACTGTTCTGCAATCTCAGACGGCTTCTAGTTCTAGTCATATTTGGACAAAAGCAGATATCAATAGTGGCTCCAGCATCATGTGTAAGGGATCTATAATAATTGGGAGGCCCCGCGTTAGCTACGGCTTCCTATCACAACTGCGAGTCATTACTCAAACTGACGCTTCGGTCTACCGTGTCCTGGGACGAGTAGTGGATATTAAAGTATACAACCAGGATATCTCGAGTTCCTGCATTAGGGAGTATATGTTACAGACACTTATAATTGCCGCTTGCTCGGATTGAGCGTCAAGTACATTCCAGCATTCAAGAGCTCTCTTGCACTCTCGCGAAATCTTGCCCAGTAGGAGGTCCCACGCTCATCAGTAAATAAGTAAAGCTGAATTATTCTGTGTGTAGAGCGTCAAATATTTCCCTAATAAGCTTAAAACGGCTATATGATCCCGAATGACTCACTATTGCCATAGCCGGCTTTATCTAGCTGGAAAGGTACATGACTATAAATTCGAGTCAAATTATATTTTACAACTCTACCTTGAGGCCTGTGCCTTGTTATATCATGAGAAAAAACTATTGATACGTCTATTATTTTATGCCGAATAATTACCAAGCGAATTTTATATGTGACCTCAGACAGTGGTTTAAAAAAAGACTGTAGGAAAAAACTAACGCTTGAAGTATCACAATCTTCAAAAAGATACGTAAAACTTTAATAATGCAATTTTTGATTTATCTGGGTCTGTTAATTCAAGAGATGATTTTGACATAGTTGTAATAAGTACTATTAATGACTCTGCCGTTATGGCTTCCTTGTGCAGCCTTACAGCGTCTGACCCCACAGAGCTCCAATCCCGAGTTTCCGGCTAGTCTGACTGTCAATCCAGAACCACACCACCACGGTCGATCGCGACCAAGACTCAACGGAAATTGGCATAAATTGACCGTCTCTTGATACAAAAATTTCGAATCAAAATTGGAAGTGCGCCCAATATCATTTAGGATACTACATCACATGTTGACTTCTCGAGAGTATAGAGATTAAAAAAACACAATGGTAAGAGGACACTACACCAATTCGCCATATTTCTAACGTCGTCTAAATACAGGTCGCTAGTCGACGACCAAAGGGAGATAAGGCTGCAAAGGCGCCGGGCGGTGGCAAGAATAATATTAAGAAGGCGACATTTGACTCTACCAAGAAGAAAGAAGTGGGGGTTTCTGACCTAACGTTGATCAGCAAGGTCACAAATGAAGCTATCAATGATAATTTAAAACAACGCTTCGAGAATGGCGAGATCTATGTAAGGAGATATTCGTGAACTACTGGAAAATGTTACAAGTCGCGAGACTTGATACTGACCAAGAATAGACATATATCGGACATGTGCTCGTCTCTGTTAATCCCTTTCGCGACTGTAAGGCTAACTAGCATTGTGTATAATAGAGTGACTAACACATTCAGTGGGAATTTACACCGAGAAAACCTTGGACAGCTACAAGGGTAAAAATCGGCTTGAGGTCAGTACAGTATTATCTGTACCATTAATTAACAATCCTTTTGATAATAGTTTTAGATGCCGCCTCATGTTTTTGCTGTAGCAGAGTCTTCATACTATAACATGAAAGCATACAAAGAAGACCAATGTGTAATCATTTCGGGGGAGTCAGGGGCGGGAAAGACAGAGGCGGCCAAACGTTTGATGCAATATATTGCAAGTGTATCTGGAGGAAGCAATACTTCGATACAAAAGACGAAAGATATGGTTCTAGCAACCAACCCTTTACTAGAATCATTTGGAAATGCTAAAACTCTTCGAAATAATAACTCCTCAAGATTTGGCAAGTATTTGCAACTTCATTTTAACTCCCAAGGCGAGCCTATTGGTGCAGACATTAAAAATTACCTCCTCGAAAAATCAAGAGTAGTCGGACAAATTTTTAATGAACGGAATTTTCATATCTTCTACCAGTTTACAAAGGGGGCTTCAAGCACATATCGTCAAAATTTTGGAATCCGTACGCCTGATGCTTACTCCTATACATGTGAATCAAAGTGCTTAGAAGTCGATGGTATAGATGACGTAAAGGACTACGCCGATACGCTCAATGCAATGAATGTCATTGGACTATCCGAGGCAGAGCAAAATGAAATATTCCGAATGCTGTCGGCTATTTTATGGACAGGAAACATCTCATTTATAGAGAATCAAGAAGGGTATGCAGCGGCAGCTGATCAAGGGACCGTAGATTTTTTAGCATACCTACTTGAAGTTCAGCCTGCACAGCTTTTATCGGCTATAACTATCCGAATACTCACTCCACGGAATGGTGAAGTAATCGAATCACCTGCTAATATCGCACAGGCAACAGCTACTAGGGACGCCTTAGCAAAATCTATCTATGGTAACCTTTTCAACTGGATTGTGGAGCGTGTGAATGTATCATTAAAAGCTCGCGACGTAACTGTGAACTCTCTCGGCATCCTTGATATTTATGGCTTTGAAATATTTGAAAAGAATAGATTTGAACAACTTTGTATAAATTACGTCAACGAGAAGTTGCAACAAATATTTATCCAGCTTACATTAAAAACAGAGCAAGAAGAATATGCTCGGGAGCAGATAAAATGGACCCCTATTAAGTATTTTGACAACAAAATTGTCTGCGATTTAATTGAGTCAACAAGACCGCCCGGAGTCTTTTCTGCAATGAACGATGCGACCAAAACTGCTCATGCTGATCCAGCTGCCTGCGATAGGACCTTTATGACTTCTATCAACGGTATGTCCAACGCTTATTTAACTCCTCGGCAAGGATGTTTCATTATTAAACACTATGCGGGTGATGTTAACTACACTGTGGATGGAATCACCGATAAAAATAAAGATCAGCTTCTTAAGGGTCTACTCGATCTTTTTAGTAAAAGCAAAAATAAATTCATCCACTCATTATTTCCCAATCAAGTAAACCAAGATAATCGTAAATTGCCCCCTTCGGCAGGCGACAAAATTAAAGCTTCGGCAAATGATCTCGTTGCGACCTTGATGAAGTCCCAACCCTCCTATATCCGGACAATAAAACCAAATGAGAATAAATCGCCAACGGAATACAACGTTCCAAATGTCATGCATCAAATCAAATATCTTGGTCTACAAGAGAATGTTCGTATTCGGAGGGCTGGCTTTGCATACCGCCAAACGTTTGATAAGTTCGTGGAACGATTCTACCTTCTCTCTCCACAAACATCATATGCCGGTGATTACACCTGGACAGGAGACTCTAAGTCTGGCGCTCAAGAAATTTTGAAATCTACTAGTATTCCTTTAGAAGAATACCAGATGGGCGTGACAAAAGCTTTCATCAAAGCACCTGAAACTCTATTTTCTCTAGAGCACATGCGTGATAGATACTGGCACAACATGGCTATACGTATCCAGCGTGCGTGGCGTGCATTTCTTCGCATTAGAATCGAAGCTGCAACTCGTATTCAAAGGGTTTGGCGAAAAAAGCGAAATGGTGCGGAGCTTCTAGCTCTAAGAGAAGCCGGTCATAAAATTCTCCAAGGCCGCAAGGAAAGAAGAAAATTTAGTCTGCTTGGTTCGAGAAGATTTATGGGTGATTATCTGGGGTTTAATGCCAGCAGTGGGTCGGGCTCGAGATTACGATCTTCAATCAATATGCCCGGAGAAGAAAAAGCTCTATTTTCTTGTCGAGGAGAGATATTGGAGACAAAGTTTGGTCGCTCAAGCAAACCATCTCCTCGGACTTTCATATTGACTAAAAGTAAGTTTTATATCATTACACAACAGATTGTCAACAAACAAATCCAGATATCTATCGAGCGAAGTATCTCACTTTCTACTATAAAGTTTGTTAGTGTCTCGACGTGTCGTGATGATTGGTTCTCATTGGGTGTCAGCTCCCCTCAAGAGGCAGACCCATTGCTAAACTGTCTTTTGAAAACGGAGCTATTTACTCACATGCAACGTGCGATTTCGGGCGAGTTGAATCTCAAAATCTCGAGTAATATTGAATATTCCAAAAAGCCCAACAAGTTGCAGGCTATCAAAGTTTTAAAAGACTCAGCAGCAGGGCAGGACTACTACAAAAGTGGTGCCATTCATACTAGTCAAGGTGAACCGCCCAATTCCGTTTCACGACCTATGCCAAAAGGCAAACCTATTCCAGCCAGGCCTTTTACAAAAGGTCGACTTATCAAACCAGGTGGGCCTGGCGGACGGCCTTCGAAGCTGTCCAATCCTAAAAGGAACACAAAGCCTGTCGCTCAACAATTCGCGACTAGTTCTGTGGACAGAATTCCATCAGTAGAACCCACTGTTACTACAGGCTCTAAAACAACGGTATCAATACCTGTTATAGTACCAAATCAAGCAGTTTCACGGCCACCGCCGCCACCACCACCTGCACAACCTGCGCGGCCCAAAAAAATTCAATACCGGGCTTTATATGAGTTTTCAGGGCAAAGCGAGAATGAATTAAGTTTTCAAAAAGATGAAATTATTACTATTATACAAAAAGAAAATAATGGTAAGCTTTCTATATTTTAGTCAAATGATTTTAATCCTTATTTCAGGTTGGTGGCTGGCCAAAAATACGATGAAACAAGAGGGCTGGGCCCCCTCCGCTTATTTGAAGGAAGAGTTGATTACTCCTCCACCGCCACCTATTGTCGGTGCTAAGCCAGCGCCTCCAATTGCACCTCCTAAGGCTAACGGCATCGGTCCGGTTGTTCGCGCTAAGCCTACACCCCCAGTCCCGCCTGCTAAACGACCTATATCAATGCGAAATTCGGCAGTTAACCCAGTACTTCGTAACTCAGCCATAAGCGCTAATACTAATGGGTCAGAAAGTGGACGTAACACACCAACTCCTAGTCTAGCTGGTGGGCTTGCAGAAGCCCTAAAAGCTAGACAAGCTGCCATGCGGAAAGAAAGAGATGATGATGATGATGAATGGTGAAAATACTGGTGGATTAAACAAAACCGAGGTTCTTTGATGCTATAAATATTGAATACGGATAAATGAGATTATAGAAGCATGTTTAGAGTATCGATAAAGTAAAGCAGGTTTATTAGCACCAGTAAGCACCGCAGCCACCTCTTTAATCAGCAAAGACCTGCTGACGATGCATACTCTTAATGGTTAGTACGCCGTCTTTCAAGAATTCGAACAAGTCGCTTGCGAGTATTCAACACATTACATAGATGTGTACCGAGAGAAACTATATGACAACTAAGTAGAATATCTGAGCTGTAAACGATGGATTGTACTTATGGAAATTATGCATATCTCGCTACTTGAATCGTAAAGAGATTTCCTATGCATTTTAAAGAGGGGAATAGTGATGGATGCGACGAAAACTGTCATGTTCAGCGGCGAGACGATTAAAAAGTCTATACGAACTAAATAAGTCTTAAAACTATGCATTAGAGATGCCAAGGGGAATTACTCATTGGCGAGTGACAACGGTAAAATTAGACATATTTCCGGAGGATGAGCTACGATTTGAAGCACGAGATTTGATCGTTAAGGGTTTATCTTCCTAAAGAACTGCGCGATAAACATTTACTCAACAGCAAATAATTATCGGAGAGCCGTGGGCAAATTTAGCGTGGATATGAGGGTGCGATCAAGTACTGTTATTATTGATTAGTGAATCTCCCGGAGAGAAGAGGTGAGTTTATGGATTGGATTTGCATACCACATTCATAAAACAGCCATCTACGAATGATAGCGTTCTATTGACGTTTGGGAAGATGGGACACATTGTTCATTTCATGAGGAGGTACATGCGCCCTTTAATGGGGCACACGATATTTTACTAATTCAAGAGCCTATCTTCTCCCCCAGAACTTTCTTCCAGTCTGCCGATTGCTTGACAGGATACAAGTAATCTTGTTTTTATGACTTAACAGGTGCATATGTTGATGTATCGTTCTTAGCTACTAAAATAATAATGAATGTTGGGGGATCGCAAAATAAGTCCAGTGCGCTTGCGAGCATCAGAACCCGAAAAAGTCACCTGCCGGCTGTTATCAACCGGTTAGGTGGGGCAACTTTGAATTTGAGCGATAAGCTTTATGAACAGGCTCTATAAATCTGATATCACTAGAATTACAGAGGCCAGTAGCCGGTTACTTAGTGAACTCATCGTCCAAGGAAGTCGAGGACTGTGCAAGACATGTAGTTTGCCTCTCGAACAAGGGCCCCGGCCAAATCTTTAAATTAGACCTCTGATTCACCCTTATACCCATTTATTTACTATAGGATGATCTAGTGTTTTTAGCTCGACAGCTTTCTAGGAGTTTTACAGCAAAAAATTGTCATGATGCTTTTCTGTGACACTTCTAAAGATAAGCTAATGAAGCCTTGTTATTTTTTGGATAATGATAGCACACTTCTGAGGACGAGTAATTCCTAAAAGGACAAAGTATATGAAGGACAAGTAAAAATGATAGATGGCCAATATTCATCAGAATGACCAAATAACGTACTCCTTCGGATTTAGCGCGGATGGTGGATGGTTATACGTTTTAAAAGATATTACATGTAGTTTTTGGACCGATATTTCTTGCATGGGCCCTTTTTCCGTTGTCAGATTATTTGCCTAGATTGACTTGGCACTGTAGCTGCACCAAGACTGGCGTCACCATCGGATTAGAGAAGGCGATGATGGCCCTTTGTTGTCTTTGAGGTGCAACTTCAGGAAAGTTGCATTGCTTTTATCTGGTGGTTGGTAACGGGTCCAAAGTAGATGGCTGATAGGCGCCTTGCAGTGATAAGGCTACTCCATAACTAACAAATTTGGCAGCTAGATGGAGAATCCGAGGCCTCAAACATCATCACGGTTGAATGGTGCGGTGGGATATGATCCTGGTCGGTCTGAAGTAAATTCTAGATGACGTGTACATACAACAAATTTTGGGCGGATACATCTGGTTCGAGTCCGGTAAAACACAATCACATCTCCTGTGTTGCTGACGAATATGGATGATGAAAGGATTTGAACTTTTTCTTTAGTGGGTGCTGACGAAGGACAAACGACTTTTTACATAAGCAAGTAAACCTTAGTGGATTTTGCAAGTGAAATCTAGAGTATGAGTGTGTCCAACGTCAAGGGTCATCCAACATGTATACATAGCAACGTTCATACGTCACGGGTAAAAAGTTGAATACACTTAAATAATATACGAGAACCGTAAGAGGTCAGTCGTCGCTCCAGCCCCGATTAGATTAATAGAGCTACAGCTTTTTAGCAAAGATTCTCAGTACTAATATCACATTCATTTGTTTGTGGTGAACAGTGAGGGATGATATAAGACATCTACCTTGCGTGAGACACGTGCAGAATGCTGGGCATAAACAAAAACCAGTTGGAATTACATACGATCCTCGAGTCGGGCGAGGTGTATAAATTAGAGTTCCAACTGAAAATTTTGTCCGTGAGATATGGGGAGGGTGGCATGAAGGAATTGTCGCTCGTCCAACCCAGCATTCTGGAAGGCTCGAGCGTTTCACGGATGCAGGCGGCCCGGAAGCCGCCTTCTGATGGATCCAATGACGAGCTCATCAATCCAAGATGCAGACTTACGGACCCTCTGTAACAATGCCAAAAATATGCCGAGACATGCCTAAGCGGATGCTAGAGGTATTTGCTGGAGCTCTCAAGCTTTAAGTGGGGGTGGTTGGATGGGGGGTATAGATCAAGATTATGAGATGGTTCATGCACTAGCATTTCCTTCACGGTCACTAATCTTAGAGACTGTCTTGTTAGCTAATGTTCTTCAACTAATACCACAAATTATTGGTTGAGGTTTGAATGATTCCATATATAATCTCGCCATTGGTCTGGTCTCTATACCAGGATCTTTTCTATGATCCTTAGGATTCTCATGAGGGGAAGGAGATTGCGTTATAAACTTTTTCATGCGTATTCATAGCATATACGTAGATGTGTAAAGAAAGGAAATGCAACAGCAATGGCAAAGATGATGTTATTTGATTTTGAGATTACCACTAGTAATCCATGCAGAATCGATTTGACTATGACGAAAGCTGACTCATCGGAATAAGATAATCGTCACTATGCTGATGACGAGAATCTGACCATTTCACGTGACACGGCGCTAGTGAGTAAGCGCCCTTCTCTATGAGGGTAAACTCCCATCACCTTCGCGCGTAAGTCTGTTTGCTATTTGCCCCTTCCACTGACAGCAAGATGAGGTGAGCTCGGCTCCATCACTGGTAACGCTGAGTCTCAAAATACCCACTAGAAGTAATCGCCAACCCCTTCTCACTGTTGTTGAGGCTTCACGTGACACTTTCATTATGCGTGTAGACGGAGGTGGGTGGGAATTCCTACCAATCAAATGCACGCATGATACAATATATAGCCAATTAGGGAAGAGCAAAATGAGGTCCAAATTTCATTGGTAGTACTGTTTCCAAGTTAGTTCGTCGGCCTGTCAGCCAATAGAGTGAATATTTTTAATTTGCTGTTTCGGACAAACTAAGGTCCAGGCAACGATCCCCCAGTTCGTCCAGCAACTACAAGCATTTCCGCACTCGTTCACGCAGACGCTACCAAACTAAAATGGATTTTATTGACCGCTACAAAGGGCCCGTTGCGTACTTTTCCCACGCATTTTACCGCTTTCTTCAAGTAACCCTTGCTCTCACTGTTTGCGGTCTCTACGGTATGGATCTAAGCAGCGCCGACCAAGCAAACGAGTCATTGGATGGTAGATGGGTTTGTTATCTTTCCCAGCCTTGGCCTTTTTGAGATACTAATTGACCCCGCAGATCTACGCTGTTGTGACAGCAGGCCTAGCTGTTATGATAGCACTTGCCTACCTCGTTCCTCTTTCGTTACGCATTCCCTTCGTCTTCGTCATCGATACGGTTATTTTCATCTTGTGGATAGTGGTATTTGGAATCTTTGGCAATATGTTCATCAAGGCAGAAGTCGGAAATGAGCCTGGTTGGAAGAAAACGCAGAGAATGAAAAATTCGGTTTGGGTTGATCTGGCCAACGCTGTTAGCTGGTTGATAAGTGCTGCGGGAATGGGAATATACTGGGCCACACGCAAACGCAGGAGTTTATTTACAGGAAGGGCTATTGTGTAAAGACTACATGACGGAGAAGGGGGCCTCACATTACGGAAAGCATTCCATACTGCTAGAATGGTGAATGTTCATGCGAACGTCTCCGAAGAAGTAAAGTTCGGCAAAGACTTCAGGGTTGACTATATTCTGATTATGTATTTCTAAATTAATATTTTTGACTTCCTAGCGATTCATTGATCCTGTAAAGCCCTGTGAAAACTTACGCTGTCTGCAGTACGCTGGCATGTGAGCCGTCCGATGATAAATCAATATCTGCTTCGTTAATATTATCCCTGGACAGCGATTGATGTCATTCGGCAGATTGACACCCGCTTTGACAAATGGTCGATGGAACCAAAGAATGACGTATCCTGGCGTGAGACATAGATGCAAGGTCAGAGAAACTTTGGATGGAGAGTTGAGCAAACTGGATACCTTGGCGATAGCAGGCTGGCAGTGAGTTAGCGCTGTGATTGAAACTAGGGTATCCACTGGGAAGGGATAAATTCCATCAAATATTCCAAGGCTAATGATCCCTTGCGAAGATTGGCCATCACTGCGGATGCTCAGCAAAATCTGAGCAGGAAGAATTTGAATGAGAGCGAACATATGTGTGAAGGACTGCGGGAGATGGTCGTTACCTGGAGACTTCAAAGGGGAAATCTACGATAGATAATTTCGCAGGATGATCATCGGGAAAACCTTCTCTTGCTATCTTTTATTTTTAGTGCTGTTAATGATGCAGCTACAGAGATGAGTATGGAATCATCCAAGAAAAAAAAAGACTCGGTTAAGGCGGAGAATAGCTTGAATACTTCTACATTAGTGTGGATGCATATTCAATCTTGGGGAGGAGGGAGGGGTCATGTATCAATGAGATATATCCTTCATATATTCAGCGTCCCACCATCACGGTTGCTGCCACCAGTAATCCCCGTTCGGCCCATCTCTTAGATGCGAATAATCCATTAAAACAACGAGTTGGAATTCGTTTTGAGTTCAACTAGTTTAGAGATTTCGGTTCTGATCCTCTGTACAATTTTCTTTCGCTACAATTCTAGTCGTCGATAATACCAGAACTGTATTTAGCAATTCCAATAATTGTGGGAAAGTTCCGCCTTCTTAAGCCATGAATAGCCGCTCTCTGCTTTCACCAACCCTTTGCTTGAGCCGTTCTACTTACTCGGCCAGCGGCAACAGTAGCAATATCCACCACCGCAGCAATAGCAACGGCAACGCCAGCACCAAGAGCTACACCAGCAACAGTAGCAGCGCGAGCGGCAGCACAAATCATGCCAGAAGAGAGGATCAGCTCGTGGCAACGCTTACTAGTCTATCAATGGAGGCGAACGGTGGGACTATTGTGGCAGGCGGCGCTAGGAAGAGAAATCGAACAGTAATGTCTGGTAAGTTTGCTCGATCACAATAGAGACTTCTGATCGCGAACAATCACGGCTGACTGCGTAATGAACTTCAAGGCTCCGCCAGCTCTGTCGATCCAACAGGGCACAAAAGTAGCCCGATAGCTATTGAGTTTCCTGCAATTGCTCGTGTTTATACTCCATTAACGGCGAGGGGCGATCTTCCTGGGTACGTTGCCTATAATTGAGTTTAAATCCATTTATCTCAGTTAGCCCTCTTCTGTCCTCTTCACTTTATCATAGGGCTAGCTAACTGACGTTATAATCAGCGGTTATTTTCCAAACCACGAACAGAAAGATCATCGACCGCGCCGCATACACGGTTTATCCGAACTATCGCGAGCCGTCCATCACTACGATCCCATGGACTCCCCTACCTTTTCGAAAACAATCGCCAATTCGGCCCTTCTCTCACCCCAAGCCATTTCTCCTCCCGTTCTGTCTCCTGAGCCGCTCATTATGCCCACTGGCAAATACTACCCCTCCAACTACATGTGCTTCAACGAAAGCAATCGTCCTACCCCCTCAAAATTTCTATCTCCCAAGAATCTCAGTATTCCTACCATACCTAAACGCGGGAAAGAGCGCCAAAGTGTTCATGAACGTAAGACGCCAGACGTAACGAGAAAACTACAGCAATACCAGCAAGAAATGTTGGCTCAGGCAAAAAAAGCCGTCAAAGAGCGTGGAATCATCACAAAGAAACCGCAGAGCATAACACTGCGACCAATCGAAGCCGGACCTGGCGGAATCACACCTTTCGAATTGGAAGGCGAGACGAACGGATACCTCACCGAAGGAGAAAGAAGGTGATACCCCAAGCGATTAATGCTATGAAAAAAGATCTAGTAAAAAATAAAAAACATCCTCAAGCTCGAGCAACTTACTCTGAACTCTTTTTATATGCATAGACGTACGATTTCCAAGTCCAGCATTAGAGATATCAAATGTACAATTCAATTTTCAAGCAACATTCACGTCTTGCGGTAACTGATCGATAAAGATGCTGGCGGGTTGCAGGACACCTACCACGACGTCATTACTCTTCCTATTTTGGCTTTCTTTCCAGATTGGGCGTCAGAATTCTAGTTGCACTGCAACTGATCATTATATGCGACTCAATTATATTAGACGAGGTTGTATTTTTCATTGGAATTGGCAGGCATGTCAGGCCCGGCAAGGGGGTGGTAAGGCAGTCAGGACGGAGTCATGGATCAGATTAAATTTAAGGTTGATGATGTGTCAACATGTGACTCTAGGATGATGAGAATCTGGTATACTTTGGCACCTTGCGAGCACTGATGTATCTATATAGACATCTATCTTTTAAAAATGCCAATGCGCTAATCAGCGCGCTCCAAACCGTCGAGTTGACACTCCAGAGCGACGCGTTGTGAGTCATGTGGTATCGTGTATTTTTTAGTTTAGCCCTCCCCACCACTTTCGTGGTTTCCTTTTTAACGTCGTGCCAGCTTGCGACACGAAGTAACTTTCGTGGTGATGAGTCATATTGATCACCGGCCAGCAAGCATTACAGACAGTGAATCACGGTAAAAATGGTGCTTGTGAGCGGACCAAGGCTGAGGCTAGATTGCCTTCATTTTCCAAGCTACCTATTTTCTTGCGGGCGCTATATGAAGCTTTAAACTTCATCCAGTTCGGACCTCTCCTAAATGGGAATAAAGCGATGACCTCATCCGTCAGGTCAGAGCTCGTCATCGGCAAACGTTTTGCTTAGATAAGCCTCACCACATATACTTTGTAGCTGCGCAGTGCTAAAGTTCCTATTCGTCAAGCTAGTTGAAGCAAAATAATTTTTGTTCGAAAGTTCACTTGGCTTGCCCTTCTCAAGAATCATAGAGCGGAGAGCGACCTCCGTTACAGTTACAGCGATGCTAATAATAATAAGGACAATAATAATCCAAGTAATAGTGCTCATCTTAGTATCCGCAATGCTATTTGATAATATTTCGGCGAGCTCCAAGAAAACTTTACACCGCTCGTTCAAAACCTTTATGCGAGGGGCAATCTCTAGGTATTCTCGAATGGCAAAATAAAGTGGATGAAGCGTTGGTTCTGACTCCCAGAAGAAGTTTGGAACGTCTAAAATATTCGATGCTAAAATTTGTTAGCTTACATAATCTCATTGACGGGTGAGAAGAGAAAACAGACAAAGATTGACCTCTACACGGGTTTTGAATAGGTTTCCTAAGATTCTGAATATCTGACTCCTTGACATTCCCAATTGACCGGTGAGAGCCAGATGCTTTGGAACATGCTGAGCATTAAGCATTGTTTGGTTCATACGCTCTTCGAACAAGCTAAGCTTAGTGCTTTGAGCTACAGCATGGCTCATGGCTAACTTGATCATGTGGTCTCCGCTACGAAGAGTGATCATATCATTGAAAACCCGAGGCCTGTCCACGAAAGGACTATACTCGAAGTGGAACTCTTCTGTCTCGAAATCATCTTGTTCTAGGGGCCTTACAACAAGAGATGTTGCTGTCTTGTGATCGGAGAAGGTAAGATCTGCTAGAACATCTTTTTCTTGACGCTCGGTGAAATTCCAAAATACGACTACTCCGTATGAAAAGACAAACATCTCAGCAAAGGTTGTCGCAACTGGAGACATTTGATTAGGGCTGCTTTGCCTGCGTACTCGAGCCGCTGGCCTAGCAATATTCCGGTTGAAGCGAGATTCTTCTTTCTGGTGGATTTCATCTTTTTTACCTTGGTCATGGCCAGCGTCTTCACCCCTGACGCTATAAGTACTCGTATTCTCAAAGTAGCCTTCGTGATAGTCTCTCTGCTCGCTCCGCTCAATTTCTTCATCCAGGACTGCTTTTCCACCAGGGTTCTTGAGGACTGGACTACTTCGAACTCTGTAGCCATGAGTGCCTGGTAATAGTGGTAAGTGATATGCCGTATACAAGCAGTCATCATAGAGCTTTGTCTTGGCGCCATGTGTATTTTTTACAAAGCTTGCTGTGGCTTTTGTTTTGTAACCCTGGGCCGTACAATATGCTGTGACCCTGGCCAGCTCTTCAGCTCTCTTAGCTTTGGAAAGTCTCTCTGCATAGCTTTTCCCCCTTACTTTGCCTCGCTTCTTTAAGAGGTCCCATTCGTCATCTTTGAGTGGTTCTGTCTCTTCTTCCTCATATTTCGAGGTAAAGCGTCTTGCTTCATTTTCATCTTCCTCATCTACGCCCTCTTCAGTATCTGGGATCAAAACAAGCTTTTCCGTGAGCTTAGTGCTGCGGCCTGGTACTTTCTGCGGTGCAAGCCTTGTGACTAGAGCGCCATTGGGTCGTTTGGGGAGCGAGTGCTTGCGTGGAGGCGGTATGCGTGCTTGACCCGAAGGAATTTCGGAGGCGTTCTGGAGCACGTTGTCTACCGAAATCGACCTTGTCGACATTCGCTGCCTTACTACATCACTCGCTCGTATACCAGTCCTTGAAAATCCCGCAGATACAGTTGTGGTTTGGGGCGAATCTCGAGCATCTGTGACCTAGACGCTACATTAGTGTAATCGTGGGTATTAAGAGCGGAGTTTTACTAGAATTGAGGGTATTTTCTTTGCAACAACACTGGTGGCCATAGCTAGTCTTGGAGAAAATGTGTTAGTGGATCTGAGTTGTCATGCATGGCACGAAGTTGAATGCAATGGTGGAGCCCGTATCAACCCATGGAGTGCCAAAATCCTCTGAACCTATCCAGGCTAGTCACCGGGCGATGGGCATGGAATGCCTTGGTTGGCAGGGTTGGTGATGACTAAACTTTTCGACGATAAGGTGAATGATATGCTGGCTGATCGAGCCAGTAATATTCGCTAGTGCCCTAATGATTCTTCTGGCAAGGTTTTATTGCAGATCGAGCTCATCCAAGCGTATCTGTTGCGAAAGGTCTTTCCTAAAATTCCAACATTATCGCCGGGCATCAGTAAAATGGGACACTGGTGCGATTATTTTCGTGAGCTGCCGCATAGGATTTCAGTCGGGAAGACTGGGCTCCCCTCCATCACGCCAGGGGACTGGATCGGTTGCGAAGAAGTGGGTGTCCTTAGCGATGGAGAGGACTCCGACTCGGCGTTAGAGCATCCTCCGTGCCAGCATGGCTCAGGCTGGAGGATGGCATGTGCACGATGATGGGGAAAGTGGTGCTGCAGGAACCGACACACGTGCGCAGCCCTCCCTCCAAGCTATCCGAGCGAAGCGGCTACGTATAAAAAAACCTTCGGAAAGTGCCCCGCCGAGTTTCGAACTGCGGAGGCGGGGCGCCATGACACGACGAAGTTGGCGTAGAATGTTGTACGGGAGACTCGAAGAGAGTGATGACAAGCCTGCGAAAAAGGAACCTTGTTTTCCCATAGAACGATGATTCTTCGAGAAACTGATGTACTCAGGGTCGACGTTGCAAACGTGAGACGTCGAACATATCACATGCTGCTTCAATGTCGAGAGCTCGCGCAAAGTTCACGGCATTAACGCAACCACCAAAGAAGCGCTTCGTGAAGTCGATGACACGGCATACATAAGAGCCATGGCAATTAGAAGTTCATTTAATGACTTTTGAATGGCCGGCCATATTCCATACAACTTTCACCCGGAGCTTTACAGCTTGAAACCCGACTGCATGAGCCCCACACTCCCTACCGTCAGTGGGCTAAATGCCGGAGGCCACAGCGCGTCGGAGCTTGAACGCTTGACTGGATAGTCACAGCTGCAGTTTTGGCTTGGCAACAGTGTCTATCGGTCGCGATTAAAGCTTGCGCGTTTGCAAAGCCGGTGGTTACCTAGGGGGTAGAGTAGATGCTAACTCAAATTGGACACTACGAGCTTCAAGTTGGAGATAACCAGCGCACAACCCAAATATACACTATATCGGAGGGCAAGACTGAACACCTGTACGCGGTGTCCTCGACGAACCTGGGGGTGAAATATTCTCCCAGAGCCAAGTTCTGTCAAATTTCACAATATCAAAGAAGTTGGCCCACGAGGCAATGATTCAATTTACTCCTCCACGTCGTTTTTTCGCTCCCAACGAAATCGATTCCTACCTAAGCCTCATCAAGTCTACAATTACGACCCAGTACAATCTCATTCCAATGATCACACCTCTCTCCGACTTTCTCTGGCCTCAGATCGTCACTAAATACACGCCCACGCCGATACTTATATCCAACGGAGGAAGCAAAGCGTGGCGCACAAATTTGGGAGACAGTTCTTTGGGACGGGCGTGAGAGAAATCAGGACAATTTCACAAGATGATATAAAGGATGGATGCAGTCTCGACGGGCGTGGAATTTCGAATTTTAGCAAGGAGTTTTTACAAATTGAGCTTTGTGCGTGCCAAGACTTCGGTTGCGAGAGTGCAGGCGACACTATAAACATCGCCATGGTTGGATAGTGCGGTTGTACATCGTCTTGGCCGGTCTGTCATGTAGAGTCTGGATAGCTTGGACACATATCCCACTCGAGACAGTAGATCGCTGGTTCAAATCCAGCAAAAAAAAACCACTTTTCTCGCGGTGCTGGTATGCATGGATGACGAAGGGATGCTTGGATAACCAAAGGTTTTGAATTTCCCTTTGGTGGGTACTTACGGAGGAGGTTCGACTGTTTGTGTAAGCGAACATACCTCACAGTGGTATTTGCGAATGAAATTCAGAGTATGAGTGTCTCTAACGTCAAATGAGTCATCCCACATGTATACATAGCACCGGTCATGTGTCATAGCTAGATAGCTGAATTCACAATAAATGATTTTAAAAAAAATTATACACTATATCGCCAAGAATAAAGAAATATCATTATAATTCATTCTCAGGACGCTGTAGATAAATTCTAATGTGCTAGGAAGTATTTATGAATTGATCTCAAGGAATGTACACCAGTAAGATGCATTAACTTCGAAGAAACAATAGCTTAGCACGTCACTTAGGCTACAGGCTGCTACCTCATTTACCTGGAACCGGAGTTTATCCGGCTCCTAACAGGCGTCATTCCTAATTTAGTTAGGATCATGTAATTGCTTATGTAATGTACAGGATGCGACCTGACGCGTAATCTTTACAATCTAGTAAATCCCATATGTATTTTTTACCCTTTAGATAGAAAATAAATATCATTTTAGACATATGTTTGCGAGAAGCTGGCGTACCGTCCCTTAACGTCTTAGCCATTTTGAGCTAGATAATGATTGATAACCAGTAAGTGGATATCTAATTCGTCTATGTAACTCTTATAAATCTACTGATGTGAAACCCTACATATCTATATACCTGCCTCAGGTGTAAGCTCTAACATTATTTTTGAATATGGGTTTAATTGTGTGTGCAATTATCTAGCTATGACACAATATTAGAGAAATGTGAAGAATGACTGACTTGGTTTAAAAATATAGCTCTCATGCCTCGGATTTCAATTGCAAGCGCCACTGCGAAGTTATGGTGGCTTTTTCTTCACCCCAAGTCAACCCTCATCCGTGAATACCGACCCAGAGGAACGTCTCAAAAACTCTGAGTTATCCAGACATACCTCCATCATCAATTGACTAGTTTCCGGGCGAAATGTGACCTAAGGGTTTTCCTTCCCAAGTAGAGTAGGTACTGAAGCTACTCAAACTATACGAAAGAACACCAAAGGGAGGCGAAATACGGCGCCCTCTATCGTTGGCTCGTTTTTATAGCGTCAGCTACACTCTCTCAAGCAAAGGCTCGGCATGCGCAATTCTCTTCAATTTAAAAAATTCCTCACTAAGTTTCAAAATCTCAAACCCGTCAAGATTGTATCCATCCTGTGCATCATCTTGTAAACTTGTCCTAATTTTTTATCTCACGTCCATCCCAAAGAACCAACTCCCAAATTTGTGCGTTACGCTTTATTTCCTCCGCCGAGTGTAAACATTGGCGTGGGCGTGTATTGGTGACCAGCTGAGGCTAGCGAAAGTCGACGAGAGGTTTGGTCATTGGAATGAGGATGTACTTGTTCCTAATTTTAAACTTGATGAGACTTTGGTAGGGATCTATCTCGTTCAGTGTGAAAATTTGACATGGCGGAGCGTTATGAATTATTGCCTCGTGGACTTACTTCTTTGGTATTGCGAAATCCGGCTGAACTTGGTTCTAGGAGAATATTGCACTTTCAGGTTAGTAGAGGACACCGCGTATAGGTATTCAGTCATGTGCTCCAAATAAGAGTATTATCCAGGTATGCGGAACAAAATTCACCTAAAAACTCCCTAAGAACACTGTTAATATATCTTTGAAAGGCATTAGGGGCACCAGTCAAACCTAAAATTGTAACTAGATATTCAAGAGAGCCATAGCGTGTTCGGAATACTATTTTGTATTTGTCGCCTTCACATACCCTCAACTTATGAAAGGCGGCGCGAACGTCGACTTTAGAGATCCATGTGGCCTTTGTGGCTTGCCTTCATGTTTATTTTATAAGCGGAAGCGTAAACCTATCAATTATAGGTATAGCATTGAAGACCCGATAATCTACACAAAATCGATGACCACCCCTAGGCTCTTTTAAAACAGTACTGGGGCTCCTTCAGGCAAAGAGCTAGCTCATATCCAACTTTTTTCAAGAGGGTCTGTTAAAGTTTTCTGAAATACACGTAACTCTGCTCTAGACATGTCTTACAATGGACCAAAAGCATCGTTTTTTCTCTTCTATTGTCATCCTTGAGAAATTCAATCTTAGTATCAACAGCAAGTTTATGGGGAGGCAGCTTGTTATTTTCATCATTTGTAAAGATTTTCACATTCTCACGTAGCTCAGAAGGCAGACTAACTTGGGTTTCCTACGCAGTCTGATTTTTCTTAAATTCTAAGGCCTGTTGATATCAGCCATCGAAGCCGCAAAAACCTTAGTTGCCGTATCTTTGGCATTACGTGCACGGGTTCTATGGACACGAAATGTGAGCCAAGAACCTGACGAGCGCTTCCTAAATTAAACTTAAGGCAATTTTACTTTGCTATTTCGGTAGGAGATAGATGATTCTCCCAATCTTTTTCTTTTGCTCTAACCACTCCTAGGGGTCTAAAGTGGATGAAACGCCAGCAAGCATCATAAACAACTGCGTTAGCTCTCATCCGAGGATTACCTAGAAACTTATTGTATGCCAAATCATTAATGATACACCCCCAAATATTTTCACTCCACCAGCGATATCTACATCAACGCAAGTGGGCTTGTTTAAAAAATGCTGTTGGGAGACCTTTTGTCGGTAAAAGGATTATACTTGGGCGTTATGAATTGTTCTATGTAATTGCGGTGTTGAGGATGTCGTTAGGACTTTGGCAGGGATCTGATTTAGCTCATTAGCGAGGCGCTTGGAGTAGAGGAAGAAAGGGCAGAGGGACAAAAGGAGAGACAACGTTTTATGTATTTCGAGATACCAGTTAATTGAGATTATTCACCGACTTCGTGACGGCACCCAATTTGTATTACTTCGTGTTTTACCAACACCTTTTTTGCAAGCTTCAGTTTTCTAGGCTTGGTGGGAATTCGTGGAAATTTGTGACGTTTAACAAATGAATGATTGAAGGCGGAATTGTATAAACACTCTTAGTCCATAAGAGCAACTGTG